CAGACACTTGACCGACTTCCATTCGGACAAACAAATGCGTACAAGTAGCTGGGGCTATCCGAGCACTACTTGAATACGCCCTTTCCCCCCTCCCCCCCACCCTCGGCCGACACAGCCTACGCCATCAGACACCTCATCCTATCGGGTAATGTCACACGCACCAACTGCAGAACATTGAACCCGCTCCGCAATTCTACTTAAGCAACTGCCACCACTGTCTCCTTCTCAGGCACCAGCCTTCGCCAGTGGCCACTGCCGCTTGAAACGGCACCTGGGAGTTCTGTACACAATAGATCTATCTCACAAATACCTTCTGCCTTTTAGCTACTAGTGGAAATCGGGCCTGAAGATTGTAGCGTCTCAAGCACAAACACTACTAAGACGTAAGAAGCTCTTTTAGACGGTCCCGACCGCCAGGAATTATTAAAAATAAATTAACCCCCATGAAACTGTAGTGACTAGCTCAACACAAAGTTCACTTGTGAACGGTTGTCATGACTAGCTCAAGTCGAAGTGTACTTTCGGAACGCTTGCTGCTTCCGGCCTCTGTGACAGGCAATCAGGGGCCGACTCACACAGGACCTCATGTGACCACTGCCGAGCAGACCTGACTTCAGATGCCGTCTAATGGCTTGCGGTTGTGCGGTCGTCTGATAGTCACTTTCCCACAGCCTCTCCTCTCACTTATTCTGTACATAATATACTCTTGCTACTACTCTGGCCTTCCCAAGACATATCCCATCTCCTTAGGAACCGGGCCTAGAAGATCGTAGCAGTTAGGGTTAAGCCGATTAGCCTTAACCCCCCTCGATAAAACTACTGAGGCATAAAATGTACACTATCCCAGGAAGGCAGTCGACCTGGACACACGCTTCCTCACGTGTAATGACAAGGCCTCTAATAGCTTAACCCGCCCATTCTGACCATCGCAAACGCTTTATCAGGACAAACACTACGTAGTTGACCAATTCATCGACCACAACTGATGATATTTCATCATAGAATCCTCGTCAATCCACATTTAGAAATAAAGTGCGAGCTCGCTCATTCCTCCGAATGAACATTAAGAGCAACTGCCAAAACATACCACTGGAGCAAACCAGTTGGGTTAGTCGGCGTCGATCCGGAAAAACAAATTAGACCGTTAAAATCTTGCTCATTCATTGAAAATCAAACAAAATAATAGTAAAGGCACTTTATTCAATACACGTGCAAATTTCAAGAGACTGATTAAAACAAATAACCAAAAGGTTTTTCAAAAAACTTGATTTGTCTCATTGAGTATGTGTGTGAGTGTGTAAAGTGGAAGTAGAGACTGTGAAAGTACGTAAAAAGGTGAGTTCCAATTAACTACGATTTAAGTGAAACAGAGACGCTGGGGTTCAGTCTCCGTCCGGTAGCTTGGCCAATATTTTTCGCACTGCGGATAACGGCAAGAAGAAAGGAGAACTTGATTGCGACGTTGGCATGCCCTCTCCAGGGTTCTCGCTGCCATTCCAATGCTCGCCCTCTGACCAGATAAGCTCGTCCAAGAGTTCAGCGATGAGACGTCCCAGTCGGAGTACTTGGTGGCATCGTACACCTTCGGATCAAGGGGAGTGACAGTGACAAATTCGGAGGTGGGGCTGTAACAACTCGGCGGATCTATGTCGTATAGCCCACTGAAGCTTTTCGTCTTCTGCTCGCTGCTCTCAAAGGTACTCATCTGCGTCGGTTTCCAGGGCCTTGGCCGGGATCTAAGAACTCGGTGTCTTTGGCGTTGACAGCAGGTTGGCGAAACATGTGCGCTGGAGATTGTGATATTCCTGAGAGGTGAATCGCTAGCCTTCCAGGCCTCAAGCCTCCCACGTCTTTCAACGACGTCTGCTACTGGTGAGGTGAAACAAGCAGAATTGATCCGTCTCACAGGTGACCCGCTGGCAATCGACCCATCAATTTTCCCACGTCTTCCTACCTCTTTTGCTGGTGAGTCGAATCGAGCAGAATTCAGTCTTCTAAGAGGGGATGCGCTGGTTCTCCAGCTCTCAAGCTTCCCACGTCTTTCTACATCCATCACTGGTGCGATAGGGCGAGCAGAATTGATCCTTCTGACAGGCGACCCGCTAGCTCTCCACCCCTCAAGCTTCCCACGTCTTTCAACTTCTT